TGTGATTTATATTCATCTGATACATAGATCAGAGAAATGTGGAAATAAAGACCTCAAAGAGCACCGTGCTATGATTCACCGGGCTGGCACCAAACCTTGATTATCAAAGGGTTAGGTGAAAATAGAAATGTCTAATCAATAGAAAAATCATTAAAAAGCCAAATGCAAATAGAGGTGACAGATGATGGCTCAATCTAAAGATCTAGGGTCTTAAAGAGAACCAGTCCCTTTGGGGGCTTATATGAGAATCTGAATACGAGATTTAATGTTGATAAATGTAAGGTGATGCACTTGGGGACTAAGAATATCCATGCATTATGCATACTAGGGGGGTACAACTGGGGGAATCAATGGTGGAGAAGGATCTGGGAGTTCTGGTAGATCACAAGCTTAATAATGGCATGCAATGCCAAGCTGCGGTTTTTAAAGTGAGCAAAATCCTCTCTTGTATTAACCTCCTTAGCGGTATTCCCGAGTGTAGCTCGGGGTAAAATTTCAATACCAAGAGAGGTAACCCCGAGCTACACTCGGGCTTACCATGCGGCGTTGCTCTGGGGGTCCCTGCAGCACTTACCTTGTCCTTCGCTCCCGCGATGTGTCCCCTGCAGCGTCCCCAGCCATCTCCTCCGGCCGATGCTGGCATCCGGCTTCTGTGTTCCGGTTCCTGTGACGTCGGGACGTACGGCGGGAAATTTGAAATTTTTAAAAAATTTCATTTTTGCTGTCATTGCTGTTCAATGCATTTCACATATATTTTGTCCCTACTGCTTTGTCCTGTGCCCTGCCTGCATTTTGACTGTTCTTTCTGCCTGGAAACTTAGAAAGGTCCATGGTGTCCAAAAAGCATCCCTTTACGTCAAAAGCGGTTTTAGAACAGCGATAGTAAATCAGAACCACTTGCAGAATTGAATGATAATGATTTGTGGTGAAATTCGTCATCAGACACTGAAAACAATTTTGCGACTTTGCTCAGCGATGTGCGAATTTGCCTCTGTATTTCAAATGTCAGTGTTTTTGGTTTGATTATATTATTGAATCAAATTTATTATTATTATATTATTATTTTTTATGATTATTTATTAAATTATAATTTATGATTTCGTGTTTCAAGTTTTATCATATCCGGAATGTTTACTAGACTCTTGTTCGTACAGATTTCTGAGTTATTTCCTAAAAATTACAGCCTACAATAAAAAACTACATTTTCCATGCAAAAAAATGGTACCGCTTTCAGCACAAAAAATCTGAAAGAATCATACCGCTGAGGAGGTTAAAAGAGGTATAGACTCCAGAGAGATAGAGATCATATTACCCCTGTACAAATCATTAGTAATACCTCATCTGGAATATGCAGTTCAGTTTTGGGCACCAATTCACAAAAAGAACATTGGGGAACTGGAGAAAGTACAGAGAAGGGCAACCAAACTGATAAGAGGCATGGAGGAGCTCAGCTATGAGGAAAGATTAAAGGAACTGAATTTATTCTGTCTTGAGAAGAGGAGATTAAGGGGGGATATGATCAACCATGTATAAATACATCAGTGGTCCATATAGTGAACTCGGTGTAGAGCTATTCACCCTGAGGTCATCACAGAGGACAAGGGGGCACTCTTTACATCTGGAGGAAAAGAAATTTAATCTCCAAACACGGAAAGGTTTCTTCACAGTGAGAGCTGTGAAAATGTGGAATAGACTCCCTCAAGAGTTTGTTCTGGCCAGCTCAGTGGATTGCTTTAAACAAGACCTGGATTCTTTCTTGGATACACAGAATATAACTGGATACTAACATGTATAGATAAAGTTGATCCAGGGAATATCTGATTGCCTCTCAGGGGATTAGGAAGAATTTTTTTTTTCCCCAGGAGCAAAATAGATTATGCTGGGGGGGGGGGGGGGTTTATCTTCCTCTGGATCAACTGTAGGTGTAGGATTATAACTTTTTTTTTTTTTTGGATGGTTGAACTGGATGGACTTTTGTCTTTTTTCAGCCAGACTAACTATGTAACTATGTAACTATGAATACTCAATCAGGGAGTCAATGGTCACATGAGGCCTGACAGTGAGAGTTTTGTCAACTCTCACTTGTCTTTACACAATGAGAGTGATTTACTAAAGGTATAAAACATGCTCACTTTACAAGAGAATTTTTACTTTAAAAGAAAAATTTCACTTAGCTTAGGGAATATAGTGAAATTTCACTATACGCAATCATGTGCAAGGAAAATGAAAAAAAAAAATAGAAATTTTTGCTGGTACATGATTGGGTGATAGAAGTCAGCAGAATTGGAAATTGCCTTTCAAAGTGAACAAGCACTACTCCTTTAATAAATCAGCCCCACTTTCTCCCAGTTTCTGAGTGTACTTAACCCCCCTGGCGGTATTCCTGAGTGTAGCTCGGGGTAAAGTTTCAGTACCACAAGCGGTAATTCCGAGCTACACTCGGGCTTACCATGCGGCGCTGCTCTGGGATCCCTCGATCACTTACCTTGTCCTGCGCTCCCGCGATGTCCCTCCTGCAGTGTCCCCGGCAATGTGATCCGGCGGATGCTGGCATCTGTCTTCTGGGTTCCGTCCCCTGCAAGCGTCGTGACGTACGGGTGACAAACGGCGGGAAATTTGAAAATGACAAAAAGTGACATTCACTAAAATCACTAAAATCACATAGTAAAACATTACTGTATCGAACCATTTCACATACATTTTGTCCCGAGTGCTTTGTCCTGTGCCCTGCCTGCATTTTTACTGTTCTTTCTGCCTGGAAACTGAGAAATGTCCATGGCGTCCAAAAAGCGTCCCTGTAGGTCAAAATCGGTTTTAGACCGGCTAGAGAACAGCGATAGTAAATTAGAACTACTTGCAGAATTGAGTGATAATGATTCGTGGGGAAATTCGTCATCAGACACTGAAAACGATTCTGCGACTTTGCTCAGTGATGTGCGAACTTGGCGCTCTGTTTCAAATTTCAGTGTTTTTGGTTTGAATATATTATTTAATTAAATTTATTATTATTATATTATTTATTTTTTATGATTATTTATTAAATTATAACTTATGATTTCGTGTTTCAAATTTTATCATACCCGGATGTTTACTAGAGTCTTGTTCGGACAGATTTCAGTGAGTTATTCCTAAGAATTACAGCCTACAATAAAAAAATGACATATTTCCATGCAAAAAAATGTACCGCTTTGAGCACAGAAATATGGACATAATCAGACCGCTAGGGAAGTTAAAGCCTTGTAGTGCCCCCAACCCACAACCACAAACACACACACTGCAAGGATTAAGGCTATGTTTACATCTCTGCAAGTGGGGAATGTGCGAAAAATAGGGTACGTTCCCAACCCTCAGAGAAACGTACTGCACATTAGCAAACACATTGGCAGCCACAACATGATTCTGTGCATACTAAATTGCATGCTGCCATAGTACCATTTCAATGGGCTGTTGTACCTGCAGGAAATACAGGAACATGGTCCCTGCGTGGGGGCCTTAGGAGTGCATGGCAGTCCCAAATGTCTGCAAAAGAGTGTTTTGGCTGCAGGTGGTTGCGGGTACAGGAATAGATGATAGGTTTTATACATGTTTCAGAATAGGATATTTGAATGCTGTCCCACCCACAACAGTGTGAACCAGTGTGAAAAAGCGTTCAATACACTTGATTGCTCAACTTTCAAAATATTAGTGGGGTCATTTCAATTATGGAAATGCAAAGTTTTATGGGAAAAAAACAAACCGTCATGTCGGATTTTTTGAGCCAAAACCATCAATTTTTTAAACAGTAGTGGAATAGATCGAAAACAGTTCGAAAACATCTACAGCGCATGCTTGTGTTAAAATGTGACCATGGAAGTACAAACAACAAAAACAGAGATCTTTCTTTTCAGTACATTTGGCAAGTGGCAGGATTCACAAAAGGTAAAAAAACTTTACATCATTTTCACCGATCGACGAAGAATGTACCATTTATGTTGTTATCGATCAATAATATGTCGACAAGTGGGGGGGAAATATTTTGAAACAATGCTGTTATTATCACATGCATGTTCAACTGTTCTTTAAAAATCTGACTATTTTTTTCAAATGATGTTCTAGCCGTGTATGGCCAGCATTAGACTAATTTCATTTAAATTGTGGAAATGCAAAATTTTATGGGAAAAAAACAAACCGTTAAGTTGGATTTTTTGAGCCAGAAACGATTGATTTTTTAAACATTAGTAGTGGAATTGATCGAAAACAATTCGAAAAAATCTACAGCGCATGCTTGTGTTAAAATGTGACCCTGGAAGTACAAACAACAAAAAGAAAGATCTTTCTTTTCTGTACAGTTGGCAAGTAACAGGATTCACAAAAGGTAAAAAAAATATTTACATCATTTTCACTGATCGACAAAAAATGTACCATTTATGTTGTTATTGATCAATAATATGTCTACAAGTGGGGAAAAATATTTTGAAACAATGGTGTTATTATCACATGCATTTTCAACCTTTAAAAATCCGACAATTTTTTTCAAATGGTTTTCTAACCGTGTATGGCCTGCATTAGACTAATTTCATTTAAAATAATTTAATTGCTTCATAAATAATGATTTAAACAGCACTAGTTTGTGTTGTATTTATATCTTCCTGAAGTTTAGATTTAATATGTAGTTATATCATGACATTGTAATGGTTAAGCGTCCATTTTCAGTGTTACAGGAAAGGTTAAAGTGTTACTAAACCCCAGACCCTGCATTCACTATATCTGGTCTCCCAGGACCCTGTATTCACTATATCTGGTCTCCCAGGACCCTGCATTCACTATATCTGGTCTCCCTGGACCCTGTATTCACTATATCTGGTCTCCCCGGACCCTGCACTCACTATATCTGGTCTCCCCGGACCCTGCATTCACTATATCTGGTCTCTCAGGACTCTGCATTCACAATATCTGGTCTCCCCGGACCCTGCATTCACTATATCTGGTCTCCCTGGACCCTGCATTCATTATATCTGGTCTCCCCGGACCCTGCATTCACTATATCTGGTCTCCCCGGACCCTGCATTCACTATATCTGGTCTCCCCGGACCCTGCATTCACTAGATCTGGTCTCCCTGAAACCTGCATTCACTATATCTGGTCTCCCCGGACCCTGCATTCACTATATCTGGTCTCCCCGGACCCTGCATTCACTATATCTGGTCTCCCCGGACCCTGCATTCTCTATATCTGGTGCATTCTCTATATCCCCGGACCCTGCATTCACTATATCTGGTCTCCCCGAAACTGCATTCACTATATCTGGTCTCCCCCGGACTCTGCATTCACTATATCTGGTCTCCCCGGACCCTGCATTCACTATATCTGGTCTCCCCGGACCCTGCATTCATCTATATCTGGTCTTCCCGGACCCTGCATTCTCTATATCTGCTCTCCCCAGACCCTGCATTCACTATAGCTGGTCTCCCCAGACCCTGCATCCACTATATCTCGTCTCCCAGGACCCTGCATTCACTATATTTGGTCTCCCCGGACCCTGCATTCACTATATCTGGTCTCCCTGGACCCTGCATTCACTATATCTGGTCTCCCCGGACCCTGCATTCATTATATCTGGTCTCCCTGGACCCTGCATTCGCTATATCTGGTCTCCCCGGACCCTGCATTCACTATATCTGGTCTCCCCAGGCCCCTTCATTCACTATATCTGGTCTCCCCGGACCCTGCATTCACTATATCTGGTCTCCCCGGACCCTGCATTCACTATATCTGGTCTCCCCGGACCCTGCATTCACTATATCTGGTCTCCCCGGACCCTGCATTCACTATATCTGGTCTCCCCGAAACTGCAATCACTATATCTGGTCTCCCCGGACCCTGCATTCGCTATATCTGGTCTCCCCGGACCCTGCATTCACTATATCTGGTCTCCCCGAAACTGCATTCACTATATCTGGTCTCCCCGGACCCTGCATGCACTATATGTGGTCTCTCCGGACCCTGCATTCACTATATCTGGTCCCCCCGGACCCTGCATCCACTATATCTCGTCTCCCAGGACCCTGCATTCACTATATCTCGTCTCCCCGAAACTGCAATCCCTGCATTCACTATATATCTCGTCTCCCCGGACCCTGCATTCACTATATCTGGTCTCCCACAGTACACACAACATGGAAATGTAATTATTTTAGTACATATAAACTGCTAAATACCGTTTTCTCATTAGCAGTATATAGCAGACTTTTATCTGTGTCCGTCCAAGCACTGGTTACAGCTTATAGGAGGAGTTTTCATTCTCCCTTGATTGTCCTATGAGGCTGCATAATGGCTGCTGAATGGGGCCTTAAAGTGCAAAGTCTATCTGTTCGTGTGATTGCAATTGGGCACAAAATGTTTATCTATAAAACAAGGATTGTAAATGGATAGTGTAAAGAAGGGATCTAAAACAGCTTAAATATTTAAAATAAAAAATATTTTTAAAAATGTAAAAAATATAGCTGATCACCAGACAAATATAAATGACATAAAACAAAGAAATTGTGCATTTGCAAACACATCATTAAAGTGTTACTAAACCTAGTACCCTGCATTCACTATATCTGGACTCCCACAATACACAGAACATGGACATGCAATTGTTTTAGTAAATATAAAAACTACTAAATACTTTTCCTCATCAGCAGTTAGAGCAGTCTTGTTACTTCTATCAGTGTTCAGCAGAGCACTGGTTACAGCTTGTAGGAGGAGTTTTCAGTCTGCTTTAGAAGGATGCAGAACTCCTGACCTCTATTTGGACAATGCTGATTGGCCCTGTGCTGATCACATGTACCCTCCCAAAGAAAAAAAAAAACTCTCTAGCGCTACACACTAAACTGAGAATGTGCAAAGTGACTCCTAAAGCTCTGCACTGTCAGCAGATGGATCAAGGACTGTAGAAGAAGGGGATGATCAGAGAAGACAGGATCAAACAACCTTTTTACACAATGTGGAGGATTAACCCCTTGGGTCCCACAGTGAGTATACCAAGCATGCTGTACTGCATATACAGACTGATTTTACTGTTGTAGGTTTAGTAACACGTTAGGGGAGGGGAGGGAGGTCCAGTGTTAGAGGTAGGTTGGCATTTGTGTGCTCTGTTAAATGATCAGCCTACCATGGTAATTACAGGGCACCGTGTTGTACAGTTCTACACATCCATCAAGCTCGCCCCTTGTCAGGAGGTATCACCCTACTAATGCAAGCAACGAGACAGCCTTCTTTTGAGCTCAGTGATGATGTTGCTTGTGTCAGCTGGTCAGCTCCTCATTATAGGAATTGTGGAAGCACCAGTCTCAAGGTTATTGACACAGCTGCATCATAATTCAAAATTAATCTACTAATGGCTATGTCTGTAGCAGTGCCAGGATCAATTATGGAGCACAGCTGTGATGCAGGAGACGCTGGTGCCGGTGGAGAAAGGTGTTGAGGGTCTATTCCACGGAGACAGCCAAGTGTGATCTCCCAAAGAAACCTCTGCTGTAACTGCCTGCCGAAGATTTGAATGGTAATAAACGATGAATGCACCGGGTTTACAGTATAGAATTTATGCAGACAATGATCCTGCAATTTGAATTGTTAGCAGCCTCTTGCAGTCGACTGTACAGCAGAGCTCAGACTGGGAGAGGAAGAAGCAACACAAGGAGCCAGTCGTTTCTGCTGCAGTGCTGATGTGCTAATACGTTGCACACTGAGAAGTAGAGAGGAGAGTGACAGTCGGATGAGCTCAGTATTGGTTCAAAAATCAGGTTTTCTGCCCTGCCAGAGAAGTCTGTTCTGTGTGGCATAGCTGGATAGACAAAAAAAACCTAAAATCCTTTGGCAGGTAAAACAGCTTCCATACATATATTTCATCCATGTTTTTTGCTGTTTGCAAAACACCCATTGCCAGTTAAATAAAATAAAAACTTAAATATAAAACTGAATATTATAATTTGCTGCTACACAAACAAGAAAACAAAATAGGCTCAGGACCAGAAATTGCACAGGAATACACCAGCGTTCCTGTGCAATTTGAGTACAGTGTTTTTTCATCCCATTCATTTAAATGGGCTGAAATCGCACTGCGCTGCACCAAAAGTATTGCCCTACTTTAAAAAAGGCACTGCAACCAGATCTTATAGCACTTCTGTACCATGTGATCAGGTAAAGGCAAATGCATTGCATTTGTGACCTGCACAGGGGCGGACAGACCATTTGGAAACTTGGGCACTGCCCAAGGGCCCGGGGTCAGTAGGGGGCCCCTTGAGATGCCCCTGGTACCTTTTTCATAGGCTTTTTTTGAGTTTGGGCAAGGGCACAGGGGCCCCATGATCCCCTATTGCCCGGGGGGCTTCATGAGTTGTCAGTCCGCCCCTGGACCTGCATTTGGGGTGTCGTTAAGTTAACAATGATACCCACTGTAGATCGCAAGGGCAGTGTGTTTTGAACACGGTGTGGGAAACGCGCACAGAACAAGAATTTCCCACACTGCGGTCTGGTGTGAACAAATCCTAAAACTGAAAAAAGGGTAATTATAAATTGTAACATAAATAAATAAAATTTGAAAGTGGAGAAAAATAATAGCCTAAGGGAGGAAGAAGTTTATTAGGTTTATGCTTAACCCCTTGACACCAAGCATATGCAAATTAGTGGCCTCACGGGACTGGGCTTTTTTCCATGGGTCCTCTAATTTGCCTACCTGTCTTCGGGGTGAGAGCGCGTCACACAGCTGACACCCGAAACTCTCAATTCTGGGTTATATGATTGCTGTGATAACCTCTGATTGGCTATCACAGTGATCAGTCACTGTGAAGCCCGCCCCCCTTATTTTCTCTCTCTGAATGGAGGAGAGAAATATATTGTATCTCTATATTCTCTCTGTCCTTTCAGAGAGAAAAAAAGTGTGTGTGCTAAAACATAATTAAATAAATATAAAATAAAAAATAAATAAAAATACCTAAATCATGGTTTGATCTAGGTCAGTGCCAGGGTTAGTGTTTGGGTCAAGGTCAGTGTCAAAGGTCAAGGTCAGGATCAAGGGTCATGGTATTTTTTTTTTTTTGGTCAGGATTTTTTTTTTAATGTTTAAATTAGTATCAGTGTCAGTTAGTAGCAGGATAAAAAAAGCAAAATGTGCACTATTGTTTCTGGGCCGTACTACGGGTACAAACAACAACTAACATACACACATGTGGTATTGCTGCAATCGTCAGGAACAATGGGAAATTACTTTGGGTTCTTCTTTGGTGGTTGGTTATGATAATAACAAGAAATATACAGCTACATTTAAAAAAATATATAGTTTTTTACTATTTTTGGTCAGTTTTCCTTTAACCTCCCTAGCGGTCTGATTATGTCAGTATTTCTGTGCTCAAAGGTGTAAACTTTTTTTGCATGGAAATATGTCATTTTTATGTCTTTTTTTTATTGTAGGCCTGTAATTTTTAGGAATAACTCACTGAAACCTGTCCGAACAATTTGAACAATTTGAAACCCAAAATCATAAATTGTAATATAATAAATAATAATAAAAAATAATAATATAATAATAATAAATTGAATTCAATAATATAATTGAACCAAAAGCACTGAAATTTGAAATATAGCGCCAAGTTCGCACATCATTGATCTTAGTCGCAAAATCGTTTTCAGTGTCTGATGACGAATTTCCCCACGAATCATTATCACTCAATTCTGCAAGTGGTTCTGATTTACTATCGCTGTTCTCTAGCTGATCTAAAAACCGATTTTGACCTAAAGGGACGCTTTTCGGACGCCATGGACATTTCTCAGTTTCCAGGCAGAAAGAACAGTAAAAATGCAGGCAGGGCACAGGACAAAGCACTCGGGACAAAATGTATGTGAAATGGGTTGATACAGTAATGTTATACTATGTGATTTTAGTGTATTTAGTGAATGTCACTTTTTAACATTTTTATATTTCCCGTCGTTTCCGGCCCCCGTACGTCACGATGCTCGCAGGGAACGGAACCAGGAAGACGGATGCTGGCATCAGCTGGAGGAGATGGCCGGGGACACTGCAGGGGGGACATCGCGGGGAGCAATGGACAAGGTAAGTGCAGAAGGGATCCCAGAGCAACGCTGTAGGATTTTCCTGAGTGTAGCTCGGGGTTACCACTTTTGTTGCTGAAGCTTTATCCCGAACTACACTCGGGAATACCTCCAGGGAGGTTAATAATAATAATAAAAAAAAAAAAATCTGGAGATATCCATTACCATTTACCAGCAAATGAAAGCCTAATTTGTCCTAAAAAAGAAAAAAAGGTATAATCCACCTGGATGCACAAAGTAGTTGTGATGATATGTACAGTTTTGCTAACACATGTCAAAGTTGCAAAATAGTGCTTAGGCTTTAGGATTTGTTTTAGCCTCAGGCGTGAAGGGGTTAAGCATAACTAAAGCTGGCCATACTTTATACTCTATTTAGTGATAATTATTTAATTCAATTTCCTTTAGATTTACCTTTTACTATGTAGTGCAAGGGCCTGGCTGATTGCATACAAATTGAAAGTGTTTAGCTTTGACCTCATAATTTATGGTTTTGGTATTTCTAAAGGAACATTGTATAAGAAAATTGTATAATGTGTGGCCAGCCTAAGTGTTAACAAAGGTTAAATAGGTAAAATTTAAAGTGGTTCTAAAGGCAGAAGGCTTTTTACCTTAATGCATTCTCTGCATTAACGTGAAAAAAAAAAAAAAATTGGCTCTTGATCCAGCGCTGTGCATGACAGCAGAGGCTTTCTCTGATCTCTCCCTCCTTCACTGGCTCAGAC